CCCCCCCCCCCCCTGGCTCGTGTCCCGCGTGCCCTCCCGCGTGGCAGCTACTCGTCTTCCCTCATGCCGCCGCCGCCGCCGCCCCCTCACTCCCTTCCCACTTCCCTCTTTCTTTACCCCACCCCATCCCGCGCCACGCCACTCCCAGCGGCGGCCAAGTCCACACGCCTTTTTTTCCTCCCTCCTCGCCCGGCCCTTTTCCGCCGCGAGACGCCCACCCTCCCGGGTTGTGCCCGTTCCGGGTGGCCCGTGGCTCGGGCGTAAACCGCGAGTTTCAATTTCTTTCCTATTTATATTGGGTTTTCGTTCACTGCCAAGCGGGTTTTTCTTCTCTCCCTCTCCCCTCCCGGTGTCTCTTCCCTCTCCTTTGCCGCTTGCATGCAGAAAAGAAAAAGGAAAAAAAAAGCGTCCCCCCCTCCTAAAAAAAAACACCCGGCAGTCCTGGCTCGCGTGGTCGCAGGAGCAGCAGCGCAAGAGCAGCAATTTGTGCAACCCTTGCCATTTTGTAAAGGGGAAGGTCTCTTCCTCCCTCCTATAAGCGATCTCAAAGATAACGCCGTGACTATTTTGGGGGACTTGGGAAGAGAAAGAGAGAGAGAGAGAGGAGGAGGAGGAGGGGAAGAAAAAGTAGGAGGGGAAGAGAAAGGAGGAAGCTGAGCTGTTGTTATTTTGGAGTCCGCGAGCCGGGAGGAGGAGAGAGAGAAAGAGAGAAGGAGGAGGAGGAGGAGGGGAAAAAAAGACGTCGCCCCCCCCCCAACAATTTGCAAAGCAAGGACTACCCCAGAAAAGGACTCACTTTGGCTGATGACTCAACGCAACTAATAATCATTTGTCTCCTCTCTGGCGAATCCCTCGTGCTGCTGCTGCTGCTTCTCTAGCTGCCTGGCAGAGGGAGAGATTGAAAGTGACACATCGGGCGCTGCTGGCTTGCTCGGCGGCGATCGGAGCACCGGCTGCTGCTGCTGCTGCTTCCCTTGCTTGCCCGGGATACCGTCCCCCTTCAGAGGCAGCCTCTCCACCCCTTCTCCTCCCCCTCCCCCTTTGATTCCCCCCCTCTTTTTGTTTTTTTTGCTGAAGGTGTGAGAAATCGTATTTCCCTCCCTCCGTCTCTTCCCACCCCTCCTTTCTTTCCCGAGCCTACCACGCTCACCTCTCCTTTTCATTCGCCACCTCTGGTGCCCTTTCGGGGAGAGCTCTTTTCTCAAACTTTCAGGCCGTCTTTGGCAGCAAGACAAGACGTCTTGACCCGGGAACGTTTAAAACAGAAAAGAAAAAGGAAGGAAGGAAAAAAAAGAACGAACCGTCGAGACTTGAGGCAGAGGTGGGTGGATGGGAGGGAGACAAAATAGACAAGAAAGAAAATAACGCACAAAAGAAGAACCAAGAAAACTTTCCACCCTGGATTCTCTACTTTTGATCCATGGACAGAGCCCAACTCAGCCAAGTTACGGACAAACTATAAGCAGTAAGTAGCAGGAAAGCGTACTCAGACTCGCGGCGACAGTCTCGAAAGACTGGGCTTAAGAAGCTCGCCAAAACGAGGGAAACAGTTTAAGGATGGCTGTCATAGCTGGCATTAAAGCGTTTGCGATTATGAAGCGTGATTATTGGGAATTTGTATCCCTGTTTGATTTTTTTGTGATTCTAGAAACCGCTCTTGCTTTGCTTTTTCTTTTCTTTTTTCACTGTACAGTACTACGTTGTGTAGTCAAGCTTGAAAACTCAATCTGCTTGAGATGGCAATTCGGCGCAAAATATCGAACCGACCTGCCAGTTGCTCGTTCTAGGACTTGCAGGCATAGCGGGGGGAAAGCCCAAAGGAGGAGGCTTTCCTCGCCTTCCAAGCAAATTTGTGCTTGATGTTTCTTTTGCCCAGTAATAAGCGTAACAATAACAGCCGCATCAAAAACTAGCGTTGACGCCTCGATTTCTAAATAGGAGTTTCAGTGCTAAAGGAAGATGCGTGGTAGGCGTTTTAAAAAATACTTTAATAAGACTTTCTACAGGTCTGCCTACTTTTTCAGTATAGCCGGGGGACAGATCGTCAAATGCTGCCTCCGGTATACAACTGGACCACGGGATGAGTTCACACGCTATCTGAAACGCATTACCCACTTGAAAGCTGCGCACTTATTAATAGATTTCTTTTCTTGAATTCCTAGGTTTTCAAAAATTGGTGTTGCTTCTCCATAGACGGAGACGGTGGGATGTAAATAGCTCCGATACTAGCGTAGGTTATAAAGCCGAAGTTGAATGATAAACTTCTGTTAACCTTTGTGTCTCAGTTCTTGTTAGCTGCCTGGCTCCGCCAGCCGCCCTGGAAGTGTGTTGACAAGTCAGGTGCAAAAGCAAAGCCCCGTTAGCTCTTCCGCGCCATGGAGATCGCTTTTATTCCTGCGTACTTGAAACACCTTTTCTTTCTAATGTAGATCAATCAATTAAGGCGGATTAATTGATGCCAGAGCGAATATTTCTGATGTCCTTTCTTTCTCCCTTTCTTTCTCTCTTTCTTTGTAGGTCCCTGCTCATTTTATTGTGACTTGCCTGTGGGAACGTTGTCTCCAACACAAAGTAGTATGGACCGGAGAAGTGAGAGTCCCTGTCTAAGGGATAGCCCCGACAGAGGGAGCGGCAGCCCTGATGTCAAAGGCCCTCCCCCGGTGAAGGTGGCCAGGCTTGAACAGAATGGCAGCCCTATGGGAGCCCGAGGGAGGCCCAATGGCTCTGTCACCAAATCAGTGGGAGGTAACAAACCTAGTAGAATTAATGTGTAGGTAACAGACTGGCCAGCTGAGTTGTAATGGCAGAGGGTGTCAGAGTTCAGGTTGGTGAAGCTTGAGTGTCTTGGTGTAGGGTTACAGGAAGCAAATCAGTGCAGATTACTAATACCCTGCTTGCTTTTCTCATCAGTAGCAAATAACCTAATTATGGTTAAATAGGAAAGTGGTTTATACAGAAGATGGCATGTTTTGGGCACTTTGCCACTCTACCAGGTGTTAGCTGGTTTCTGTTATAGTTAAAAGATCCTGCATTTCCTTAGAGTTGTTAATTTCTTTGCTTTCTGTTGTGAAATGTAAGCCTTAGGGGGTTGGTTTCGTTTCGTTTGGAATTGCTTGCTAAATAGCACCTTTTGCTCTTTGACAAAGTTACTTTTTTTAAAAAAAGGTGCAGTCTTACAGATGTTTACTCAGGTAAATAGGGGAGTGAAGTTCAAGTAAATTAAAATTGATAGCTAATTCTGTTCTTAGAATGCTGTATCTTTGTTAAATGATCTACATATGGTCAGGATAATTTAAAATATTTATTTTGCAAAAAGAAAAGTTTTCGTCATTTTCTTTTCCTTTTGGAAGACATTTCAGTAAATTTTTAAAAATTGTTTAATTTGGTCATATTAGCGGTTAAGAATGTATGGCAGCAAATAACATATCGATTTTATGGGTAATTTGTTAAAAAATGCGAATTGCTGTGTTTGCTATATACATTCCTAGTCTAGTTTACTTGCAGTTTAGTTGAGTAGCTGTGATGGGATTCTAAGATTGTGATCCCAAAATACTGACCTGGAAGTAAATTTTGCATAGCAAGCAGTGGAAAATAATGCCAAGTATATGTGTAAGCAGTTAATTATTTTAAAGAACCCCATAAGATTATTTAGTTTTAATCTTTTAAAGAACCAATGTAATTGTTGAGCACTTGTTTTCTAGATTGTTTTACCTGTGATACAATTTCTTTGAGTAAATTTGGCTTCTTAAATTCTTGCCCACAGCCATTTAAAATTTCTGTTTCTAAATGTCATATTCCTTACTACTTTCCCATGAATTATCTTACTTATGGAGATGGATACTATTGTGGTGTAGAATCTTTCTGCAAAGCATCTAGAGTAGCTGTGGGCAGGGGAATCACAGCAAACAGGCAGTTCTGGAAAACATACAAAATACTATAATGCCTATGGACAGTGTTCTTATTGCATATGAAGAACTAGAAGTCTAGTGTGTTTACAGAGTGTAGTAGTATTTCAAGGGATTAGGAAAATGCAGCATAGTGTCATGTTTTAACAGTTTAACCATTTTATGTGTATTCGAAACTTTTCTGCTCATTGGGAGTAGTAACTGGTAAAAATTATTGAGAAATTAAAATTTGAGATTTACTTGTATCCCTCATCTAAGTTATCTTTTAATTCTTAGCGTCTATAGTAAATACAAAAACAGAAATATTTTGCCACTTTCCAGACTAACAGATTTATTTCAGTGTGAGAGAACTTGTGCTATATTTATAGTGGATAGGAGAGTTTAAATAGCTTCTTGGAGGTTTTGTTGAATGTGTCTCTTTATTAGAGGTAAAAAAGATGATGTGTGTAGTTAAACATACTGTATTAGAAACCTATGGAAGTAAGCAGCATTTGTAACCTTTTGCTCCTAATATTTCTGTAAATGTTTCAAAATTAACTCTGAAACAGTTTTCAGTCCTTAGAGGAATAAGGCGCTCTGTGGAATCATTTATTTTTTAGAAAGGGTTTGTAAGTTTTTACTAACATGTTTTGGTGATCTGTTGAGACACACTGCGGGAGACTTATTTCTGTTAGGAACCATAACCATAAACTTCGGGGTGGAATAATTTATTTCTTAGAAAGGGTTTATAAGTTTCTACTACTATCATGCGATGAATCTACTGAGACATATTCTGGGCATTAAAGGAAGTTTATTTCAACATTTTGGCCTAGGCATAGCATAACTGCTATAGTGGTTTCTCACAAGAAATTCACTTTGGTTTGTGTTATTAGTATACTGTAATGTGGTGTAGGATTAATATAATGTGCAGTTTTAAAAGGAAGTGATATTTTTCAGTATCTTCTTCAAAGATGCTAACTTTTTATGCACTGCTAACTGATTTAAATAGGAAATTGTTTTCTTTGAGTTTTAAGTACAGTAGAATCTTATAGCTTTGCTATTTCCTTGCAAATGGAAAAGAAGCCATCTTTTTTTAACAGTCTGATTCTCAGATCAGTAATAAGTTAGAATAGTTAAATCATACTATCTTGATAACTGTTAAAGATTGATTTTCATCTTACTTGAGAAAATATTAAAGACAATTAATTTGCCAAAGGTTTTTAGCAGTGCCTTTCAAATCTTGTTTTCTAAAGAACATTCAGGGAATTTACTGAAGCAAAAGTATGGATTCTGTATATAAGAACAAGTTTATATTGTTTCAAAAGCCATATTAAAATATTACAAATGCTACAGGTTTTAAATTGTATCACTCAAGTCTCATATTTGTGGATGTAAAAATAGTTAATTGTACTGGAAAGCGAAACTAATGCCAGATGTACAAATCTTTGGCATATTAAAATAGGATAGCGATTTTTAATGCATATTAAACAAATATTTAGTGAAAGTCATACCAAGAATATTCATTTATTAATCTGTAATGTGATAAAGAGTTGAACAAAGCTGCTGAAGTGTATCTATACAGATGCCAGACTTCACTGTGTTGTGGGGGATGGGTAGGAATAGTTCCGTGCTTTTTGACTTTGTAAATTTTTCTTTCTTTGTATTTACTTAGAACATAATATTACTTTTCAGAAACAGGATTAACATACCTGAAGCTATTACCTATTGATGAGCTGTGCAGGGTATGGTTATATTTGTTTTTTGTCCGTCCGTTCTTCCTTAATGGCATCTTTGAGTGAAGGAAAAAATTGTAAGGCTATGCAGTCTTACCTTTCTTCCTTTTATATATGGCAAAAGATTTTTTAGACTACTATTGTTTTGCTGATGCCATGTTAGCTTTTCTGAAGTTAGAAACTTTTTTGGTATTTGGGGAGAAATTATAAACAATAGAAAATCCTATATGAAAATTTGCACAGGAAATATGGTAGAAGTAGTTTGCCCTGAATTGTCAAAAATGTGTGTGTGCTTTTTGCAGTTTTATTTGTAGCTGGGTTAGATTTTCCTCTGCTTTTGGCATTTTGTAGCTTCCTGCAGTTGTCTAAGTGCTCTGGCTTAAACATCTATATAATGAAATAGAAGTGCTGTGATATTCATGATTGGCAGCTTTTACAGTGAAACTGTGGGAGAAAAAAGGTGAATATCTCTTTAAAATATATATGGCGCCCGAGAGAGAGGTTAAAGCAAGCAAGAGCTTTGTGGTGTTGACAGCTTTATATCCCTGCTGGGTAACATTCACTTACTAGAATTGGCATCACTTCTCAGTTAGTAATTTGCTCCATAAGGGTTTTGAAAAAGAATGATTAATGGTCATGAAAGTCAGATCTGTAAAAATCCTGATTAAAATGTATCTGTGTTTGTGTCTCTTTACTTCTCATGTACATTACCTTTTTGATTTGTATTTGAATGAGATATTAAATTAATACAAAGAGCTCAACCATGGCTCAGTTTAATAATTTAAGCCATGATCTAAATTACATTGATGTAGAAGTGAGTTCAGGTAAAACTGAAGAGGCTTAAATTAAACAAGGTTCCTATATGGTACTTTGTTAAAATATATTCTTATACTTTCTTAAGTACAAGAAACCACAGTGTATCAAATACGATTATCAAGTGTAGTTAACAGGATACCATGTCATATTTACTGTGTTCCAATTGATTTCTATTGTAATATTAGAAATTTAAAAGACATGTCATTATCAGATTCCATATATTTCCATTCAGACTAATTTAAGCACTAGTTGGCTTTTACCAGCAAAGGAACTTGATGCTGCTTTACTTGAGTCTTATTTTCAGGTTTTACTGAAAGACCAAACTTTCATTGGATTGCATCAATCCAATGCTCAGGCAAAGTAAGTCAAATTTAAGTTTGGATCCAAATTATCAGTTGGAGCCAAACTTGGTTATAATGGAAATAGACCTATTGAAATCAATGGTTCTCGCACTAGTCTGATTCCCATTGCTTTCAGTGAATCTGTCCAAATCATGTCTAAATCTGGCTCAAACTGGCTGTTTTTATTGTTTGAGAAATTAAATATATACTACTTATCCTTGTATAATTTTGTGAGAAAAGTTTAACTGTGTTTTACGTTGCTATTGGCTTACAACCTGTCCCTATTGCATGGAACAGTAGAAGAGCCATTATGAAAGAGACCAAAGGCCTATCTAGTCCAGTATTCTCAGCAGCCAATTAGTTGACCATGGGAAGCAACAAAGCAGGGCAGAAATGCAACAACATTCTCTAGCTTGTATTCCACCGCATCTGAAATATAGAGCAGTGCAGTCTCTGGTACCAGAGGGAATACAATTTTGAATATTAGCCACTGGTGCATATTTCCTCAGAATTAAGTCCCACTGAGTTCATTGTGTCTTCCTCCAAGATAAAAAGGTACAGAATACTTCAGGCATCAAACATGGAGTGCACGGATACGCGTATTTACTTAAGTTCCAATGAATTTGGCATTGGGCATATTCCTAAGTAAGATTGTGGCATTTGCATTAAGACCTAACATGCTATTGTGGACATTTGTAACATAAAAAAGGGATCTACTAGTGTTTTGTAACTAGAGCTCAGAAATATATATTTTTTAGACTGTGGCTCTCTGAACCTCAGACTGCATAGTCTGGTTAGAGTTTATGGAAGCTGAAGTCCCAGAAAGTAACTTTCTAAGTTCAGGCTGTGACAATTTATTACTGTTACAAGTATGAGGATAGAAAAACATGTTGAGTTTTTTAAAGCTTTAATGCAGGACGCAGTGTGAAGAAAGCAGTGATCTAAGATGTCAATTGAATATTTCTTGTGAC